GCATCCAAAACTTCATTTTTACGATGGAATGTTACAAAATCTCGAAATTCTCGGCCAATCTTTGGTGAAACGCTAAAGTAAATGTACCATGCAGGAGATATAACGAAAAATTCTCATGAGAATTATTACATATATAGAACTCAAAATTTTATTTTTTACAAAACTAGCACACCGGGACATTTTTTTTCGAACTATTTAAATGAGACATTTACACGTGTCACCATCAAATCATTATGAATTTTATAAAAATGAAAATTTTGATTGAGGTTTTATCATAAGCTCTAATATTTGAGTGAGAATGTAAAGAACAAATGAAAAAAAAAAAGTTGCCACTTTTATAAATAGCAAAATATTGAACGAAAATTTACATACATAGCACTCAATTCTCACACATTTACATATCTCACACCCAAACTTTAATTCATCTTTTTCTATGCATGAAAGGATGGATGTTTTGATACATAAAAAAAGGTGCTTTAATTGTAAAAATCAAAATTTAGATGTGAGATATGAAAATACATAAAAAATGGGTGCTATGTATGTAAATTCCCCAATTTTGAATGGTATGTAAGTAATTTTCCCATGAAATTAAAAAAAAATTAAAAAAAAATACTTTATCAGATGGAATTCTCTCTCATACTGATTGCAGTTGCACCTGCTCTCGATTCTGCATCCTTTAAGCATGGGGCCACAGCCTGTCCTCATGATTTGCACTTACAGTAAGAATGAAGCAAATCAGAGAAGACGACACATTTATTTCACTGTTTTTTTTTTTCCAATTATTAATAAAATAATTGAAAGAAATTTTAAATATTTTACGCAGAAAAATTGAAATTAATAGATATATCAAAATTTAAAAAAAAAAAAAAAGTAGGTAAGAAAATTCAATTGTAGATTGTTGTTGATCTGGCAATCATTGTTTATAAAGTATATTATAGATTCTTATGTATTTTTAGATTAAATATCTGAATTTTGATATTTAAACTTTTAATATTTTGATGTCATGATTTTATATATGACAATGTTTATTTCATTTTTAAGTTGTTAATAACAAAAAAAATATTCCATGTGGACACCACATGGAGAGATGCATACAGTATCTAATCTACACATTCGAGCAAAAAAAATTAAAAAAAATAATAATAAAAACGTGGCCGACATAAATACATCTTTGTGGCAATCGACAGTGTTGATCGGACACCGCATGCGATGTCTGTATGGAATAATTTTTCGTTAATAACAGTATTATTTTTATAAAAAAATGTTAAGGATTTGTAAATATGAAAGTTTAGATGATAGATATGTAAATATATAAGAATTATGTGGCATGTATTTAAATGCCTCTAAAACCTTTCATATCCACATTTATTTTAGATTCTTAAGCCAAACTCAAATATTCTTTTTTTTTTTTTTCACCATCAATTTTGTTCAATATTTGAAGCTAATGAAATTATGTCTCCATAAATTAAAATAATCTATTAATTAAATCGAAATATTTAATTAAAATATTTTTTTTTAAATATCAAAGTGACCATCAACTTTAACTATAAATAAGAAAATATAGATAAATTATATTCATTAATTAAGGACTAAAAAACTAATGATAATTTATGCAATCTTTAAGAGCTACGCAATCAATCTTACACCATTTATTTGACCAAATTATATTACTTTTTAATATTTAATTATTTTTTAAAATTATTATTTAATGAAATACTTAATATCTTCCCTCTAAATATAAATTGTGTCTCTATCACTGTCTCGGTCTCAATTTATAATTTTATGTGAGGTGCAAAGTCACTATAAAGGCATTAAGTGGTCACATGCAATGATGCAACAATATTATGCTTTAAGGTGTGAGGTTTTTAGGTTGGGCCTTGTGGGCAGTGTGTACGTGCCATGCTAAACTATTAAGAGAGAGAAATTTAAATATATATATATATATGGCACACAATTCTTATACATTTATGTATCTAACAAAATTATATATTTATGTTTATAATATTTGCTTTGATGAATTCATGCATAAAAATGTGTATTCAGAGTTCTAAAAGTAGGTGATAACAATATTTTATATATGACATTAAAAATTTTAATATAGAAAAGAATTGGGGTATGTATTTAAATGCCTCTTTTAAAAACTTTATATATTAAACTAGTGTATATATATATATATATTAGGCATCTTGTTTTTAACTTTTTATTGATTTATATTTATCATAATTCACAATTTTTCTTTTTAAATTTTGTTGGAGAATATGGCATAACTCGTGCTAAATTTAGCTGAAAAGAAGAAAGATTCGTAAAGCTAGCTAGACGTGTCTTCTTTTAAAGTGTAGAACATTAAAATTGTTTAGATAGATTTATCATTAATATTGATGTGTCATCAAAAAAATCTTTATGATAAAGCATGAATTTTGATACATTTTTTATAAGAAATCTTCTAAGTTCAAATTCATGATCATCCAAGCTACGATTTTTTTCATCAATTTTATAATAAAATGGAGCATCTCAACAAAAGATGAACCCAAGGGCTCTAAAATTGATTCTAAGCTAAGTTCAAGCCCTTGAAGTAGAATTGGAGGATTGGAATCATCGGTTGAATGGTCAAATAAACTCCAAATTTGACATGTTTATAGTAGAATCAAGAATCTCAATGAGAGGAGTCCAACTAGACAATTAATTATGAGGTCATTAAGCCACCCACATTCTTAAAAACCCACATATGATTAAGGGGAATTAACATGGACCGTCCAATAGTTGATTAGAGAGTTATATGTCAAATGACCAAAATGTCCCTCTTTAAAAATCTATAAATAGGCCCCTATCTCTTCACTTGGGAGGAAAAAAATAAGAGACGTAAAATTTTACAACTTATTCTTGAGAGAATATTTAACAAGTAAACATATGTCTGCATAGCCTTCAAACGCTATCAACCACCGTTCGTCGTCACCACTTACCGACACTGACTAGAGGACGTCAGCAATCACTACTTGTAATGTGCTTGATGAATTTCTTAACACTTGTATTATTTTCAACATATAAATAAAAGTTTAATTTTTATTGAAAGATTGTAACTCATTCTCCCTACATAAAAAAGGGCAATACCCCTGTACCTAAAAGCATATAAAGATTTCTTTGACTGGGCTAAGTCTCGTAGTTTTTCCCATTCAAGGTTTTCTCCCATAAAAATTTTAGTCCCTTCACTATATTTTTTTTTTTATTTGTGTGTTGAATTTCATACAATGTTAAATAGTATTGATTAGGCAACATGGGGAGCAAAAGGGATGAAACATACTCAAAATGACAAAACAGGGTCCCAGGCACCAATCATGGGAGTTTAGGCACCCGAAACAAAAGCCACAGACGCCAATTCTAGAAGCCCAGGTGACCATATGCGTGAGATTTTTGCTCAGATGCTGCAATTCGTGTCATTTCACTTCAAAGTAGTTAAATTGTTGAATACAAAATACCAAAAGGATAGAGACAAAATAAAGATGCTTGAAGGCTCATAGAGAAGAATACTCGTGAGAAATTGGAGCATTTAAAGAGAAGAATCAAGCATATTATGAGTGTGAGTGGGTGTTCTACTGAGTGAGAATAAGTGTAAGGTGAGTGTGTATCCATTTTCATACTCAAAACAGTGTAAAACTCGAGAAATTTGTTGTAAAGTAGCAACCACAGACCCTCGCCTACCGCAGCTGGCACCCAGCACCAACCGCTGTCTGCTACTCACCGTCCACAAGTAATGTTTCGTGCTCGGTGAAGTAAGGAAAACATCAGATACACCATGGGCAACATAACTTAAAATTGGAGCGCATGTGAACTTAACCGTTTTATAAAAAAATATAGTTTTTCTTAAAAAAAATCCAACTAAACATATTTTAAATCTTTTATTTTTAAAAATATAAATTATAACAGTACCAAAAACCTTTTTTTTAAAATAGAAATAAAAAAAAAATAAAACACTAAAAAAAATTTAAAAAATAAAAAGTGATCCCAAACAAACCCTAGAGTTCTTACAAGATAAGGGGGGCTAACTATAATGTGTAACTCCAATTTTCTTATTACTACCAAGAGGGGTTAAGGAAAATTGGTGTTCTTAATTGTTAACTTCATTAGAGTAATCAAGATAGATCTGATTTACATATATGACCAACTCAAGGGAAATTTATAACACTTCTTTAAACTCAAAAAAAGTTATATGTTCTACTTTTTACGAAAAATAGGAATATAAACTTTAAAATCATCAAATTTCAAACTTTCAGGCTTGACTCAAAACCAGCAGACTAACTTTTCCAAATTTTGAGAGTTCACTCATTCCTTATGGGATCAACACACGGACTCAATTTAGTATATTACTTGATCGGCACATAAAATTGTTTGTATCATCGATACTTCATAGGATTCCGATCGTATCCAGTTATAAACCTCATAAATTATGTCTCAAAAGAGTTTGATGTCATTACACGTCTGCCGAGGGGCAATACATTAATCATAATATATTATATTCCCAACAAGACTTACAATAACTCCATTTTTTCTAAGGGGCAAATTATAAGGAAACAACATTCCTACATGTAAATCAGCAAATTATTAAACAAACTCACGAATTTTAGTCTAATTTATACATTCAAAAGAAATCTCAACTTAAAACAGTATACAAAATCATTTGATCTACATGAAATCACCATGCTCTATAAAAACATAATTTTGGTTTCTATTGTCTTCAATGTTTCTCCTCGACTACCAACAGATCATATTTTCTCTATGAAATTTATAACAAACATAAAACATATCGCCCGAATACAATTCATTTTAATGGCATCAAACCAACATTTATACCTTCCAACAAAAATGTTCTCATTTCTCAAAGCTATTGACATTACTCATATCATCAATATCAAGTTGAAGATCAAGTATGTATAAAAAAAGACAACATGGTCAACACCTATTTCAAGGAAAAATCATAACTTTATCATTGTGGATATTCATACCTTATTTAAGAAGAACAATTGCCCAAAAATCATTAAGCAATAATATCCCAAAAAAATTATAGAGAACTGTCTAAACTTGGGTAGACAACAACTGTCTGAACATAGGTAAGCAACTGAATTTGAAAATGCAACAATAGCCTCGATACAGGAAGATGATAACATCCTTGATATGGATAAGCAACAACCTGAAGGCAACAACAATCTAAATGTGAATAGACGTCAACCGGAAGGCAGCAAAAGCATCGATATGGAAAGATAACAACTTCAATATTGTAAGGAAACAACAATCTGAAGGCAACGACAGTCTAAAGGCAACAATGGCCTAGAGAGGATAAAGCCACATACTAAATAATCCACTATAGTATAACTTCTCTCTCCCTCAAATGGTGTATTTTTAATCTTAAATTTTGGAGGTTCTCTCCGAGAGCGAACATGTGTGTGCTCACACACCCGTGCACTCAGCCAAGCGTGCACACACTCTAGCACCCATGTGCAGCAAAGCATGCACACGTGTCTGCCGCCGCATCCGTCAGCCCCCACGCAGCCCAAAAATATCCATCTTCATATTATTTTCACACAATGATATGATTTTGCCAGGACGAACAATATCTATAATATCTAAAATTCTGAGCCTTCAAAATCGATTAAAATTCTTTCCAACTTTAACCCCCCAAAAAAATTTATAAAGCCAACCATTTCCAGAAAAAAAAAGCAGTTTCTCAAAACAAGTTTTACTAATCAATCACAAAAAAACTCGTCTGCTCAAAGCGAACCCTAATACTCCGTCACTATGAAGTTCCAATGCAAAAAGATAAACATGAAGGTCAAACAAATTGTTTGCTCCATTAGCCTTGCCCAATAATCCAATACTAGCTAGGTTTTAACTAGGGACTTCTAGTTTAACAAAATTAGTATGAATCTGCATATAGTTTGGTTCTCCTACCAAAAAGAAAATTCAGTCTTATAGTTCTTTCAATGAGAACAAGAAGTCATTCTATTTAGCAAATCAAAAGGTCAATCTTTTACTAACTGCAAAATTCCATATAGTTTAATACTATTACCAGTTTGCAAAAAATAAGTATTGCGTGTGGAGATTTAAGATAACTTCTCCTGTTAAAAAAATACCGCAAACATGTCATAGTTCAAAAAGTTTCAAGTGTTTTACCAAAAGAAACTCAAAAATCGAAATTTCAGAAAAGAATAACTTAAACCTGCAAATGCTCAACAATATATATCCTGCCGTACAACTCTGCAGAGACTAGTTTCTCAGCCTAGCCGTTCCAATTCAGTAAAAATGCCAGTAAAATAAAACAAACTCTACCCTCATACATGCATACATACATTCGTCATATATATATATATGCAATGGCTTAAACAAGTATTTAATAATACCACAAAGATTCAAGACATGTGTGACCGAGTTGCACGAGGCCGCACTGGCGTCTTCGAAGGACTTACCCTGATACAATATTATTCATCAGAACAAAAGTTATAAGTTAGAAAAATTTCTGCAAACACCATACTGTATACAGTTTGATAAAAGGACAAGAAATTAACCTCAACTGGAAGGAGCCCAGTACTGCGCCACTGCAATTGAGAGCAGCAATGGCACTCTCAGCCTGCAAGAGTAAATTCCTGGGTGAGGATGCTCCAAAGTATTTTAAAAAAAAAGGAAGGCATAAACATACAAACCACCCAATTCTTATGTATTTACATATCTAACACTTAAACTTTACTTTTTATGTAACACTAAATTCTTATGTATTTATTCATTCCAAATCTTTCATATCACATCAAAAATAACACCATTTAACTTAAAAAAATGAAATACATCTTTTCATGCGTAGGTAAGGTAGCATATATGTAAAAATTATATGTAAAAATTAAAGTTTAGTTAGGTGTTAGATATAGAAATACATAGGAATTGAGTGGTATCAGGTATGTCTCTTCCCAAAAATAAAACATTAGGGAATGTCTGAAAAATAGAAGAATAGAAAAAATGTGTGATTCACAGCCAACGGCAAAACCCGGACAATGGAGGCTTGACTTTCAGCTTTCACCAATCTTATGTTCACATTAAATTATACTGAAGATATAAATAGTATAAAAACTTCGTCCTCATAGCCCTTGTTTTTTAGACAACTAAAATCATATTTGGCAATAACTTCTTTCGCTGTTTTCCATAATTTTATGTGAAGAGGAATAACATTTTATAACCAAATCTACTAAAATATAATAGCTATATAAAAGCTATTGTCCGACTTTTTAAAAAATAAATAAATTCACAAGATTCACAACTTCAAAAAAATTGCTTTTTCAAAACAGTTCTATGGCAACTTCTAATTGCTATCACCCTAGATAGGCCCTTAATTCTTTTATTTTACTTTCCCTTCCATGAATACTAATTTTGGCACCATGGTGCATGAATTCCCTATAATAGCATTTTTTTGGCTTAAACTAATGAACTATAGATTATAAGAGAGAACGATTATAAGAGAGAACCTAAACACTGCTCCAAGTTCGCCTTTCAAAGATAGAAGGAAGACATTTGAATACTAACCCTTGCAAATTCAACAAAAGCAATTCGAGTGGCATTGTGGTAGTCTCCAAGAAGCCTCAAGCGATAGACCTACACCCAAGAGGACAATTCAAAATTCTTAAGCGTTAAGAATTTTTTTCCCTTCGGGATACTAGAAAAGCGGAACTGACCGGTCCACAAACTGTTTCAAAGAAAAGTTTCACTTCTGCTTGGGTTATCTGCGGGATTATAACAGCAACAGCTTAAAGAAGTGGAACCATAGTTTATATGTATGAATAAATAATGCACTCTAGAATATACCTTACTATCAATATTTGTACAATAGATGGTCCTTGTGCACATTTCACGCTCATCTTCGGACTGCAGGACAAACAATGATCAGTGATATTTGACAGTAACGTCATTAAAGATTCTAAAGTAAATTGGAAGATTTACCTACATACCATTCAATTCTTATGCATATACTTATCTAACTTCTAAAATTCAATTTTTACATATATGCCACTTTACCTATGCATGAAAATATGTATTTCACTTTTTAAAAGTTAAATTAGTGGTACTTTTGAAGTGATATGAAAGATTTAGGTGGCATAAATGCAAAAAATAAAGCTTAGGTGCTAGATATGTAAATATATAGGACTTCGGCGGTATGTCTGCAAATGCCCCAAGTAAATTTTGTAAGCATCGAAATTCATTTTTTCTCACCCTTGGCAAGTATTTTGGGTCTACAGGTGCAATTGCAGTTTTTGAAGGGAGCACTCTTACTGGGTAAAACCCAAGCATTGTTCCAGAAATATTTAAGGAGGCCCTTGCACCATCTGAAATTTGGCAAGACCGATTCCCGAGAAAGTAAAAAATGGCAGTATATAAATAAATCTCAAGCTGTGAAAATAGTTGTGAGCCAAATTGCAAGAGAAAATTACCCTCATCGGTGAACTCTACAAATGCAAAACGAAGAACCGAGTTTGGGTCACCACATACACGACAATCGACAACCTTCAACAAAAGAGAAGAAGCCAAATTTGGAAGCCATCAAAATAGCAAAAGCAGAGAATCAATCCAGCCATAAAAATTAAAATAATCAAATAAGATACCTGTCCACAGCTCACAAAGAGTGCTGCAAGCTCTTCTTCAGTCACCTATTAGACAGAAATCAGGCTGGAGTGAAACGGTTCATAGCTCAAAATGCAAAAAAGAAAATGCGCATAGATGCATTACATATCACAAAAATAAAATGAAACATTAGCACTATATGAACTGAGACCTGTTAATTGAACACATTTCGCTCATTCAGAGGGTACTCATCATTATACCCACAAATAGATGGCAAGGTATTAGGCTAATATTCAGTAATTACAACAATCGGCCAAATAAAGAACATTGCTTCCAAACATAAATAATTACAGCTACGCAGACTAACACAAATTTTATATCATTTGCAAAGCAATTATACATGAATTATGGCTAATTTTGGCATGATGTGTGCATGATATATTTTGATATCCTCTTCAAATTAAAGTTGGTTGTTCAAGTAGCATCAATTTGCCCACAAAAAACTGATAACATTACATTGTCATGCCTCCATAAAATGAAACATTAACACTATATGAACTGCGACCTGTTAATCGGCCACATTTCGCTCATTCAGAGGGTACTCATCATTATATGGACAAATAGATGGCAAGATATCAGGCTAAATTTCAATAATTACAACAAGCCAGCCAAATAAGGAACCGACAGCTATGCTTCCAAGCACAAATATTTACAGCTACACTGACTCACACAAATTCTATAGCATTGCAAAGCAATTATACAGGAATTATGTCTAGTTTTGGCATGATGTGTACATGATATATTTTGATATCCCCCGTCAAATTAATGTTTGTAGTTCCAGTAGCATCAATTTGCACACAAAAAACTGATAAAACTATATTGTCATGCCTCCATAAATATGTCAATAATCTGAAGGTTAGTAGAAATATGACAGAAATGGTTGGGGTGTAGAAAGCATTGCAAATAAAATAATAGTTCACTTTAACGTGCTTTATGTACTCATGATAAACATGATTAGTAGCAATTTTAATGGAACTAGCAGTCTCGTAGAAAGAAGTGTGATTATTACGTGAAAAATTAAATTCAAATAGAAGACCACAAAGCCAGACAATCTCAAAGTGGCATACATTGCATGGTACTTAAGACTCAATACAGAATTAAGGCACGGGCCATTTTTTACTCTTCTATGAAATTAAAAAATCACCACAAAAGTTTACTAGAATTTATCAAATCATGTCCAAGAAGCCCCGTTTCAACAAAATATAAAGAGAGCTTCAATTTATATGCATCTGAAGAAGAAGAAAATCAAGGAAGGTAAACCATATAAATCTTCTCCTTGAAATCACCATCAACAAAGACATTTTTGATATCCATTTAGTGGAGTGGTCATCCTTGTGAAACAAAACTAGAGAGAATCTTTTTTACTATAATCAGAAAAGAGTAGAAGTTTTCTCATAGTCTATGCCTGTTTGCTACCAAAAACAATAAAACAATCCTCGTAGCAATTCAGAGTAAAATCAAAACTAAGCTTGAAAGAGTAAACTCATTTAAAGCTAATGGTCATAAAATTAGGTGGACAATAAACAATATGACGTATATAGATGTCCTCAAGGATGAAATTTCTGCCATTGTTACCCATTAACAATCATTTTTAACAGCCAATTGTTGACCTCATTTTTACTGAGGTCTTAGTCTTATACTCCCAGAACCCATAATCTAGCCTTAGGAGTTCCTTGTTGATCATCCTGGCGGACTAGTAATGGAGTCCACCTCCCGTAGAACTTCAAACCTCTTCTTAACTTATTTTTGTGAAGAACTCGCATAAGTGGTTCCAAGCACTCAACTTCTAGTTTCAAAGGGCTAAGGACCAGCATGTAGAGGGCCCGAAAATAAGTTCCTACAAGATCGTATGACCTTAGGTGAACCCTCGATGACTCAGCAACGCACTCGCTGCACCACACGATTTTGACTTAAATTGACTCGTCCGTCAGTGAACTCGTCCGGATGACCCCGGATGACGAAACAGACCGCACCGACACGTCCGGAACGTCAACTTTAGCTAGGAAGAACACCCATATTGCTAGGGTTACACACGCGCACAAATGGCACGGAAATCGATTTACGTTTTTTTTAGAGAGTCGCGGGCCCGAACTCAATCCAGGTTCAACTCAGGTTAGATTTGGACTGGACTCAGGCTGAACAAGAGTTAAACAATTTTTAATTTTTAAGTTTCAAATAGGCATTTAATCTCATTTTAATTGAAAGTTAAAGACTTTACTTTTGAATCTGCTTCATCAACGGAAGCCAATTAAGTCCCCGCCAAAATTTTAGCATAACGGCTTCTTTGATTAAATTCAGCTCTGCTGTTCTAAAAGGGGAACGCTGGCTTCTTCCTCGGGCGCTCGACACGATTCGACACCCTGTTTCTTCTCACGCTCGATCCCGTACACCTCCTCCTTCACAGACTCCGCCCCCCCCTCCCCCTGCCGCCGAACAAACGAAGCCGCTCGCCTCCTCCCGATCGAAACCCCGCTCTGCTCTTCCTTCTCACGCCAAACAGTCGCTCGACGCTGCTCCTCCCTGAACCGAAGGCCGCGTTCCCTCGATCCCACTCCTCCGCTCGCACGCTCTCCTCTGCGATTCGACGCTGCGAACCGAGCTCCTGTCTCCCGCTCGCCTTAGCTCCTTTGATCGGCACCGAAGACAGCTCCCTCTTTCTTTCTCGATCGCAGCTCCAACTGAAACTCCCCGAAACCCGCTCCTGCTGCGTCTTCTCTTGCGCGACGAGAAGTGTTCGTCCAGCAGCCCTGACCGAATTCCCTTCACATACGACAAACCTCTTCTCTCCCGGCCTCCACCGAACAGA